TAGGTCGCAGAACCTGGCTGTATAAGCCACTATGTCGGAACCCTGCATTTTGAGGTTCCACAGTTCCTCCTCGAGTTTCTGAATTTCGCCCCTCGGGCAGTACTCCCTTGTCATCAGGTCCTTCAGTGTATCCCAGCCCATGGCATTAGCTGTTACCAGTGAGAGTGATTTGACATGGCCATTCCACCACGTCAGGGCCCTTTGGGTGAAGGTGCAAGCAGCGAACTTTATCTTGCTTCCTTCAGGGCATGAGCACATCTCAAAGATTGCTTCTGTTCTCTCGATCCATTGGGACAGTGCAATGATCCATCCGGTTCCGTTGAAGTATGTAGGTTTGCAGCTGATGAAATCCTTATAGGTACACTCCCGTGTACGCGGGTGGATTTCACCATGGCTAGAGTTGGTGCCCGTTCCAGCTCCACTTGCACCACCAGAGTTTACTTGAGCCATAGCTGCGGTCACGGCTGCGGTCACAGCTGCCTGAAACATCACCGCATCGAACTGCGGAGGGGGTGGTGGTGGTGGAGTTTGATTCGCAGGCGTGTTTCTGGTCGGACGCTTTCGAGGCCGCATCTTTTACTGAAAGTTCATAAAGACGATGATAATAGTAAGAATCGATTGTAAGTATGATGAGAGTGTTTCATGGACTAAATCACCATAGTCCAACCATCAGATAGAGACATAACCATAGAGTAGGGACATACAAAGGTAAAGACTGCCCAATAAAGTAGATAACTGCCAATATTACTGGTATTAATGATGTAAAATGAGTTCGGGAAAATTGACCTAACATTAGGCCTTACATCAAACCATAAGGGAAAATGTTGGCAGCTTAGAAGTCTAGTTAAAGTACTTTTAAAAGTTAGGAATATTTTACAGACAAGTGCTCCATAGAGCACGGAAAAGAAAGGCTATTCCTTAATTCAAAAGTAAAGATGAGTCGATATCTTCTACTGGCGACGAGTATCCCTTAGGCTAACCCTCAGGTCTGCCAATTGACGTACAACTTCCTGAAGATGCCGCTCATGCGTCCTCTGGCGCACTCAGAGTTCCATGACTTCAGCTCGGGATACAGCTAGCTGTTGCTGCAGAGCCTCATTGGTCCTCCTAGTCCTATCCATAGCCTCTTCGAGTTGGCGAATGCGGACTGTGTTAAGGCCAGAGTTGGCATCAATTTCCACTACCCTGTCGATGGATGCATGACCTTGCTCGACGTTCCTAGCAATCCTACGGACCATGATAGGTAGGACTCGGTCAGCGGAACCTCCCTCGCTTATGTTGTAGAGGCTTCGGTCTCCGTTGTAAGGCAAAGGCTGACCCTGCTCATCACTCCATTGATTCAAGGTTGTTGCCCACATGGGAGTGGGACCTTGAAATGTCGGACGGGGGTTGAGGTTTGGAATTGGATCTCCTTGGGGAAGGTTGCTGACCTCTAGTTCGGAGTCGGAGCCATCTGAAAAGCCTTCTGCGAGGTGATCATCCAAAGGAATTGGGTGATCATCTTCTAGCTCCTCATCAAGCCATCCACCAATGCCTTGGTTTGGATAATACGGATCGCCGGGGAGATGGAAGCCAGCCATGCTATCTACGCGAGAATAGGGAATAGAGTAGTTAATAGACGTACTAATGAAGATCCTTTTTAGTTCATACATAAGTAATTATAGTAATCACAAAATACTCCTATAGTATTTTAGGTTTACGTTCTGTTCTGATGTTCTCGTTGTAGTAGTGTTGGTAAGTTTTTAGACTTGTTGCAACACCACAATCGTTCTTAGGCACATGCTAGTCACTCCTCGGAAAATATAGTTGATCAGGCTATATCCCCCTAGTTTTGACTATATGTTTCTAAGCTAATTGTGTTGTTCAACAGTCGTAATACTTTTGTTCTGTTCTAGTATGATACTGACACTGGTGTGAATAGATGTATATATACTTAGTTAAATATTTTATTATTTAAAAGTATATATTCTTGGTCAGAGTGTTTTAATCCCGTTGCTTTTATAGTTTGTATATCTTTTATGGGTTGATATACTCGATTCACTATAAACAATGCTCTGATACCAATCTGTCACACCCCAAAACCGGAACGGCGGAAACGTTCTGGGGTGGAGGACGTCATGTACAGTATCACAACAATGCATAATAGTAAAGACAAGCAACAACATCCATTGCATTAATATAATAATTTAGATACAAGTGTGTTCTGAATAGTATGTAAGACACCAAAAGTGTATAATCAAAATAAAGATGAGTCTTGTATGTGCTCCATCTTCGCAAAAGCTTCATCGGTACCTGTCTACTGATGACCTGAGAATACAAGTTATTTTGAAAGAGTTTATCAGCATAAAGCTGGTGAGTTTATAAGTATTTAGTGTCATTGCTTGCATGAAAATATCTGTAACAACTTAATGTAAATGAAGTAACTGGTTTCAAATGTTTGTAAATAGTTATACTCCCTAGAAAATCCTATATTTTCCAGAAAATGTAGTCTTCTACCAAGACCCGACTGTTTGTTTATTTGTTATTTCATAAATGTAGGGGTTTTCCCCAGTGAAACTATCATTATGAAAATATAGTTTACTTAAATGTGTATGTGACAGAATCACAAAGTAATGAAATACAGACTCCAGGTAGTACTAAATGTACAGTACACCTCGGGGAGTCTAAAGAAATGAAATGCAGACTCCAGGTGGTATTAACTGAACAATACGCCTCGAAAAGTCTGTTTTGCCTTTAATTCTTAATTGATTAATTAAAGGTTTGAATGTGAACTCGTATGTAACCATGCTGATCGACGGCTGAATAACTGATGACCCTCCAGGTCATATGTAGCGAGGTAACATTCTGTCACCCTTGGGCCTTATCGGCTCGGACTGTAGCTAGCAGTCGGGATGTGGGAGTGTCTGTCCCGTATAGATCTATACACACAATGCCCGCTCTCCCTCCAGGAGACTCTGGTTACAAAGTGATACCACAAAGAAGTGTCGTATCGAGAAGTAGTATGTCACATTCTGATTATAGTATTCTAATGTTTGTATAGTGTGAACTCTTGTATAGTATATAATATGTTCTCTTGTATAGTGTATAGTATGTTCTCTTGTATAGCGTATAGTACGTTCTCTTGTATAGTGTATAGTATGTTCTGTTCTTCAATGTAGTATTTATGTAGTGCCTCGTAAATGTACTGACTCTTGTATGCGTCATTGTAGTAGTAATAGTGAGTAGTATCCCTTAACTATACCTATTATAGTTAAATAGTAATGTTGCTTGTATGCCTTTGTTACACAAAGGCACTGAACTGAAGTGAAAACTTTTATATCCAATACTTATATATATGATATATAACTAAGATTTCAACGACATTCGGACAAATAACAGAATACCCTAAGTCCACAACCAAACAAGGAACAGGAAATAAGGTGAGCTATCAGTCCTAAGTCCTTCAAGTCCTACTTATATAAATATATTGGTGTAGATATGGTTTTGAAAATAATGAAAGCTTAAAAGGGTTTGGAAGTAGTTTTATAAACAGTTTAACATTGTAAATGAGTTTGATAACCATTTTGAAGTAGTTTTGGTGACAAAGCAGTTAAAAGTATAGAAAGTCCATTTGTTTGCAAGTTATAAATCACATGCGGTTGATATTATAACTAGTTGGATTCAACTTGTATCCCCCCCCCCCATAAAAGCATTCAAAAACATTTAAAAGGTTGATTAAGGGGTATGAACTCACCTGTAGTGAGTGGTTTGGATGGAAGTGTCGGATAGGATGCTAAGTGTCAAGTGGAGACTTGAACACACACACGGGTCCTATTTAACATGTAATGACACACATATGTATCTAATTAGTTATTTAATAACTAATTATTTTAGTAAAGACACCCTAATACATGGAAAACACTTTGATTCAAGTGCTAGGAGTGCTAAAGGGTTGCATCTAAAGAGAGTATGGCCTCACATTGGAGTTTACTTCCCATTTGGTAACAACACATGAGTTTACGGCCCATGGTCATTTCCCCCATGAGTTTACGGCCGTAAACTCATGGTAACTTGTACCATTGTGTGTTTTAAGGTCTTATACCACACTAGGAAGGGATCTATACTTGTATCCAAGTCTTAGGAAGGGACTAGGGCTCAAAATGGCCCTTCATTGGAGTTTACGGTTTTGGGACCAACTCCCATGGAGTTTACGGTCATAAACCCATGAGTTTACGGCCGTAAACCCATGGTAATTCTTACCATTTCGTGGTTTAAGGTCTTTAGCTCATGCATGCAAGGTTCTAGTCCAATATCCAAGCCCTAGAAGGTAATGGTGGCACTTATGCACCACTTGATGGTGTTTACGGTTCAAGGAGATGCCTTGACCGTAAACCCATGTGTTCTTGGGTGTTCTTGATGTTTTTCAATGGTTTAACAAGTTCATTCTAGTGTATAACAAGCTAGGACAAGAGTACTTACAATATAGAAGCTTGTTTGGGTGTTTAAGGTCCAAGAACACTAGTGTGTGTTCTTGGTGTTCTTGGTGTTTTGAAGAACACTTGAAGATCTAAGTAAAAATGAAGAATTTGTGGATGAAATGATGTATAACAACTAGATGAAAGGTTATAACAACAAATCAAGTGAAGAAAAACTTACATTTTTGGAAGATTGGAAGAAGAGTGTTATGATACTTGAGAGAGAAGTGTTAGTGTTCTTGAGTTTGGAAGTGTAAAGTGAGGAAGTGGGGAGTAAACTCATGCCTTAAGCATGAGTTCAAGGTGAAGAGGAGTTTACGGCCCAAACTCCCCAAGTTTGGCCGTAAACATCTTGCTATGGTGTGATGTTTTTATTTGTTACACAATCCTCCTAGAAGATACTCCATTTTATTTGTTTGTTTGACGAATTTATTTAAAAAAAACACCCAAACGGACTTTAAATCGGCCAAAAATGTACAGAAATGAATTTGACTATTATTTGTAGTGCTTGGCTGTAGAGTTTATACAAAATGAAGATTTCGGGTTGTCACACTTTGTTTCATTTATTTTAATTAGTACACTTCGATTTCCCACAGAGTTCGACACCCTTACTTACTTTAACTAATACTATAATTTGATCAGCTACATTGGTTGGTACTAATAGTCAAGTTTAGTTTGTTAGGAATTATAAATTTAAAACCAATATTTGTAGTTAGAATTAAGTTTAATTTATTAGACTACTTCCACACATCATAAGTTCTTGGCGTCGTTGTCGGGGATATAAAATCATGTTAATGTTGTGCAACTGTTTGATTAGAGGCTACAATATATTCGATTTTCTTGGTAGCCACTTTTCTCTTCTTGATTTTCACCCACTCCAGCTTGATGGTCTTTAAGGCTTCCAATTGTTGGTCTTTTCAAGGCTACCTGTTTCTCTGTTACTCATTGGGATCCCACACTACAAGTCAAGCCATTGAATTCCAGCTTCAGTTGGTAACTGATGCAAGACAACATATTTCTGTTAAGATGACAAACAATAGGTATACTAGTATAGTATTTCACATTTTCATCATATGAAGTGTATAAAAAATAGTTGCCAATATTGACATTAATTTCTATAAGCAGGTAAATTCTTCAATGTAAACACATTGTTGAGTTTTGAGTAACTAAGTGGACTAAACCTGAAACTTGGTTACTACTTACTATGAGTACTAGACATGTGTTTATATATTGTAGTTGCTTTAACCATTTGGTATTATAACAAATGTGAGTTCTAGTACCATTATCATAACATTAACATGTTATGATTTGTGTATTGAATTATTGATTATGTGAGGCACATGACGCATATGTAATGATGTATATCTTTTACAAATTGTTAACATGTACATATATCTCTTTCGAGTGACTGTATAGTAATGCTAATGATATTTATTGAAATTTTATCTTCTACATACTTGTGTTACATTAAACATAACTTAAAGTTAAACCTCACATCTTAGCCTTCGTGTCACGCATTTCCCTATAAACATTGCAGCTAATTCTACTATTTATACACATTTAATATATATATCTTGTTAAGTTACATCAAAAGATAATAGTAAGACGGTAAAAACAACAAATAAAAAATATGAACCATGTGCATTTAAAATATAAACTAATACACGATAAGATTGATTTTTTGTAATTTAGTCTAACAAATATATTAAGACCATAAACCACTAACACTTAATAAAAATCAGTTCAAAAAATAATTAATCAACATATTACGAAGGAAAGTATCAAATAAACCTCAAACCTACATAGAAATAATTATAAAGGAAAAAGTGATAAGAGATAAGAGACAGAAAACAATTAAGGAGACACAAACGAAACAAAAGAACTCTCCAAGTTCAATAATGGTTTTGCTTCATGTGCATTTCTGATAAATATTTGTAATATCTGTAATATTGTTTACATTATTTATTTTAACTAATTCATGGTATGTTGTATCCTTTAATGTAATATGTAAGTAATTTTAAATTTTTTATAAATCTACATGATTGTAAAAAGGAAAAAGGCTCAAAAAAGACGGGCCAGAGACCTAGATTTTTGGGATTAATATTAGATTTTCTGGGCTCGGGTTCAGTTAGACTCGAGCTTTATGCAAGTCCACCTAACATGTACTTCAATTCATATATATATATATATATATATATATATATATATATATATATATATATAATTATGTTTTAATATGGAATTCTCAATGAATACTAACTATATAACATGTTGCTTTTTTCCTAAGATAGCAAAGGGTCTTATCCCTAATATGGTGCCACATGATTAAACCTCGCTAATTGCACAAATGGGAGCTAATTATTGCATATTCAAATAGATTTAACATGTGTTCATTAAGTTAGGTTCAGAAAGAAATAAGTCCTTTTAGAGATGCAAAAACCAACAAACAAATAAAGATATAAACCATATGCATATACACCAATATACCATGGGAACGATTTTTATAATTTAATCTAACAATTATATTAAGACAATAAGCCACTAATAATCAATAAAAATTAGGGAAAGAATAAAAAATCATCCTCTTGACTGCTAATATGGAATAAAGCTCAAATCCATATAGAAATCATCAAAAAGGAAGAAAAAAAAAACAAAGAGACAAGAAGGTTTAAAAAAACACACACACACACAATTTAGGAGATCTAGGCAGAAAACATCAAACGAAAGAAGTCCGTAAAAGTTCAATAATCTTTTTTCCCTCGTGTATTTTCTCACAAATACTTGTATTATTTATACAATTCAAGTCCTGTTAAAATTCATGTTGTATCTTTTATTATATTATCCAAGTAATATTTTGATTTTTATATACTTACGTAATAAAAAAAGCTCAAAAAAGGCCAAGATCAGGCTGAGTTTAAGCCTAATGCATCTCCAATCCATCCATCATAACGCTTCTAATTTTCACATATATAACTAATGTTTTAAATACAAATCTATAACTAAATTCTAAAACATAATTTGTTGCTTTTTTCCTACGATTAAAAAGGATTTTATATTCCCAACATCGTGGCAAATGGTGAAGAACCTCACTCACAATCACATGAGTGCTAAAGTATGCATGCTTACCTTTCTATAAATAGAAGCATCGTACTCTTCCCAACATAATGAAACATGGCTTCTCCACAAATGAAAGCACCCACACTTTCCATTTTGTTGACATTTCTTTTTTGCATTTGTGGAAGCTTTGTCTCTGGTGAATACGCCAACTTTGAGAAATTAGTATTGCCTGAGGGTGTCATCGGCCCTGGGGCAGTCACATTCGGGGGACTTCTCGCCCCAGGGCCCTTCATAACCGTGACTGATGGTAGGATTATGAAATGGGCGGGTCCCACCATCGGTTTTGTGGATTTCGCATATACTTCACCAACAAGGTCCGTATTACTACTTTTTCAATTTATCATATATGTACAAAATAATTTACATTTATAGTCGTGTTTTACTTACTTTTTTGGAATAATTTTTCAGGACAAAGCAATTTTGTGATGGAACAACAGATCCCGAGAAAGGGCCAATATGCGGACGGCCAATGGGTCTTAGCTTTCACCCTGTGACCGGGCTTCTATACGTAACGGACGCGTATTTTGGACTTTTGGTTGTGGGCCCACTTGGCGGGCTTGCAACTAAACTTGCCGGAGGGTTTAAGTTTGCTAATGGCATTGACATTGACTTGTTGACCGGCCATGTTTATTTCAGCGATGCTAGTTTGACTTATACTCCTAAGTAAATCATTTATTACTAATATCAACTACAATATAAAGATGTGATAAAATCATAGAAAGAAATGAAAGTATGTTGTTATATTATTATGCAGAGATGCTGTAAAGCCAGGATTTATACCGGATTCGAGCGGGAGGTTATTGCGCTACGAGTCGCTTACCGGAAAATTAACGGTTTTGCTGAGCGGTCTGTCGGGGGGTGGTGGTCCGGTGGTGAGCGGTGATGGTAAATTTTTACTTGTATCCGAGATTAATAGTTTCCGGATTTCAAAATACTGGCTGGTGGGGCCCAAAGAAAATACGGTTGAAGTTTTGCTAAATACAAATGGGAGTCCAAATAAGATAAAGCGGGGGGAAAAACCGGAAGAGTTTTGGGTGTCAACTTCAAGAATTGGATACGTACCACCAAAGGCTGTTATCATTCCTGAAGGGGTGCGGTTTAATTCAACTGGGTATGTGCTGCAAACGGTTCCATTTGTTACTCAATACTCTAATAACGTAACTAGTTTGGTTCAAGAAAAGTATGGAAAACTCTATGTGGGCTCTCTTTTCACCAATTTCGTAGGTGTCTACTCTAATTAATTAGACAACTGTTGTACTACCAAATAATTGATAATAAAATAAAAACGCAACCAGTATAATTGGTTGATTCCCTTCTTTATCGTTACACAAAATAGCTTATGTTACAAGATACTCCAAGTCAAATGTTACAAGAAATCGAATTAGATTCGATTTTTTTGGATGACATAGATAAACGTTGAGAGGTATGTCAGTGTTGAAGTGGAAAGTATTATAATATGTTTGGGAGTTAGGAAGAAAGATTTATTTGCATAAAGCAGAATTCTTGCTTGGCTATAACAGAGCCAAACAACAACAGAACCAAGGAGAGACATTAAGTTGAGGCGACTTGAAACAACACCCAATATAAAGAAATAAATAAATAAATAAAAGGAATTGATTTATCACACATTTCCCTATAATTAACGTGGCACCTAAAAAGTTTATAGGGAAATGTGTAACATAAGTGCCAACATATGTGAGGTTTAAGTTATGTTTAATGTAGCCCAATTATCCAAAGCTAAAAAGTCAGATGATAACATCGACAAATGAAAAATATAAACCATGTGCATATTAAACAATTATATTAAGATCATAAACTATTAACATTCAATTAGGATCGGTGAAAGAACTATTAATCAAAACCGTAGCATCTTGCCTACTAATATAAAGAAAACCCGTGTAAAAATTCTATAAAAGGAAGATAGAGAAAAAAAAAAAGATAAACGAGTAAAAAAAATTGATAAGACGACACCAACACTAGTTAAACAAAAAAAATTCGCTAAGTTCATTAATCCTTTTCCATCTTCTGTATATTTTAACAAATATATGTATTATTTTGAATAGTTTATATTGTTTATTAGATTTGATTAAGTTCATTAATCCTTTTCGTTCATTAATCCTTTTCATCAATAATATGTAATGGTACGAATTTTATGATTTTAGATCATTTTAAAGAATAAAAAGATCAGTCTCAGGCCCATGCCTAAATCTTTTTGGTTCGGGGCAAGGTATTTTGGGCTCAGATCCAATGAGACTACAATTTTACTACTTTGAACTTTTATACGTGTAACTTATGTTTTAATATATAACACTAACTAAATTTTAAAGCATAATATGGTGTTTTTACCTAAAACTAGAAAGGATTTTGTTCCTAATATGGTGCAGCATGATCAAACCTCACATGTTGTGCTTTATGTCACCCATTTCTCAATGAACTTGGGAGCTTATTATGCATATTTATATGATGATTATATCGATTTAACATATTGCCCCATTAAGTAAGGTCTAGGAATAAAAAACCATTTTGGAAATTTGAAAAACAATAAATAAAAGATATGAACCATATGTACAAATATAATATCACATTCACATACTATTGGGACGATTTTTACAGATTAATCTAACAATTATAATAGGACCATAAGCCATTATCTTTCAATAAAAATCAGTAAAGGAATAATTAATCAACATATTGACCACGTTATTGAATAAACCTCTATTAAACTCAATCCAAGTCAAAAGTTTAACGTTGTATCCAAGTAATGTTATAATTTTTTTTATATATACAACTTGTGTATTGATAACTAGATTTTATAACATAATTTGTTGCTTTTTCCCTAAGATTAGAAAGTAATTTATTCCTAATATGGTGGGGAATGATGAAGCAGGTTTGCATATAAGTACAAGGATGTTTATGTTGTAGGACAGTGCTCCAAACATATTCAAATATGGCTTCTCCACCATCCATCCTTTCTATTTTGGTTACATTTATTCTTTGCATTTCTAAAACCTTTGTTTCTGGTCAATTTGCCAACTTTGAAAAGTTACAACTTCCCGGGGGTGTTACAGGCCCCGGAGGAATCACATTTGGAGGACTTCCGATTCCAAACGAAGGTCCCTTCGTAACAACTAATGATGGTGGGATTATGAAATGGGTGGACCCCACCATCGGTTTTGTGGATTTCGCATATACTTCACCAACAAGGTATTTTCAAAATTGTTATGTGTAAAAATTAAAATACAAATATATAATTACATTTCCTCATAGTCATATTCACTCTTTATTTTTATTTTTATTGAGATTTCTTCGAATATTTTCTTCAGGACAAAGGAACTTTGTGATGGTGTAACAGATCCTGATACCGCATCAACATGCGGACAACCATTCGCCCTTAGCTATCACCCCGTAACCCACAATCTGTACATTGCAGATGCGTATCATGGACTTCTAGTTGTGGGCCCCGATGGTGGGCTTGCAACTCAACTTGCAGGAGGGTTCAAGTTTGTTAATGATGTTGACATTGACTTGTTAACGGGCCATCTTTATTTCATCGATGCTAGTTTGACTTATACTATCAGGTAACCAATTTGTGTTTGTTTAGTATATTTCATAATATCATTGTAATTTACAACTGTTTATATTTTATAATGTGTAGCGATGCTATAAAACCAGGATTTATACCTGATTCAAGCGGGAGGTTATTGCGCTATGATCCACTTACCCAAGAAGTATCAGTTTTACTGAGTGGTCTCTCGGGTGGTGGTGGTGTGGTAGTCAGTAGTGATGGTACATTTGTTCTTGTATCTGAGATTGGCAGTGACAGGATTACAAAATATTGGCTGGTGGGGCCCAAAGCAAATACGGCTGAAGTTTTGCTACATGTTAATGGGAATCCGAATAAGATAAAACAAGCAGAAACATTAGGAGAGTTTTGGGTGGCAACTACAAGAATTGGATATGCACCACCAACGCCTGGCATTGTTCCAGAAGGGGTGCGCTTCAATTCAGATGGAGATGTGTTGCAAACACTTCAATTTGGTACAGAATACCCTGATGAACCAATTAGTTTGGTTCAAGAACACGAGGGAAAGCTCTATGTTGGGTCTCGTTTCACCAATTTCGTAGGTGTGTACTCTAATTAGTAGTTTAGACACCCCTGTATGTGCCTTGTGCTACCAAATAATGCTGAAATCGTAATAAAACTACCTATAAAGCTTGATTTCCCTAGCCAGGGTCTGTGTTTACCTTACAAGTTACCTCTATGTCATAAGCATTTACTACAAAACTTTGATAATCGTTTTTAGTGTTACTAAAACAAGAAAGAGATACCGTGTGCATGTAGAAGAAGAAAAAGCAGAATTCATTTGCCTTGATAAATTTTTATAAATTAGATCCAGTAATGCATGTAGAAGCAAAAAAACAGAATTCTTACGTGGCTTTAACAGTACTTCTCCACATAGTCAAGCGCTTGTCCAAGGCAGATTGAATTGTGTTTGGGATATAATCCAAACCCTAATTGACAATCGGAATGGAAAAAGAAAACCGTTTAGCCAAATATAGGAAACTAAATCATTCGCAACAACAGTTGAGTCGTTTTGAAAGGGGAATTGAAAAACAGAACAAGTGACAGACCTTGAGTTAGATCTTCCGCCCTATCTGGACCATCGACCTTGAGTTAAGTTGACGCCTCTCTGTAAGACCACCGTAAATCTTTTGCATAGTGAATAGTAGCTGTCAGGAAAGGAGGATAGAGAGGAGAAGATGATCGAAGGCTCTATCGATTAATCAGTCGACGGCGTTGTGAGCAACTGCGAGTTGAGGTTAAGGAAGCAATAATCGCTTCGCTCTCAAGTCTCAACGCCCTCCATCTCCGATCTCTCTTCTCTTTCTTTCTCTTTCTTTGGATCTCGAAGAAAGCCAGGTTCCCCATTTCCAGTCAAAACGGGAATTCGATTTGCAAGCTGTACAGAACGAATGAATTTTGAACGTAGGAATTCATGATTCCGATTTCCGAGCATCATCTCACTTACTATTTCTTTGGAGGTTCCAATCTATCATTAAAATACTATTTTTTTCGGCTGCCCAACTAATAATCACTTCCCCTGGTTATTATCTTCTATCTAGCCGAATGTCCGCGCGTTGTGCAGAAAGACTTATATAGATGAAATCTTTATAAATATATGTTTCTTTTAAATATATAAATATGGTTGTTGTTAAATTTGATATAATAATTCGTATATTAAATTGATATAATATATTGATTATTTTGAATTATATGATAATATATACATTTATTATAACTACATAATCTCAATCGTTTGAATGACTTCTACCTGTGAGTTACAAATAAATAAAATTAAATATAATATATGATTTAATGTTATTTATAGTTGTTGTTATTGTTAATTTTAAAATTTATTTGTGTAACGTTTTAATTTCTATCATTATAATTATTTAAAACATCAAATATTGTTTTCCGATTTTAAGGTAACAATATAATCATTTATATGGAGTTATTTTTAACTATTGTTATTATAAGTTATTTTAAGCTATTTATTTGAAAACTTTTAACGATTATAAAAATATCTTTAGGAAATATTTTAGTTAAATTGATATTACAATTTAGTTTTTGCATTTAACACTATAATTTATCATTTTTAACTATTCACAAAATATTCAGTGAGTTTTTTAAGTGGAACTGAAATTTATATTTAAGTTGGCATTGTAATGCTATATTTAAATTAATAATTTAAGTATTTTGTCCAAACTGTTCAAAGTTGTAGCTTTAAACTGATAATTGTTTACATACAACAACATATTAAATTTAATAAATTAAGTATAATATGTTAAAAGTTAAAGTCATAACTTTATAAGTACACTAAATATATTATTTTAATATTGAAATTTAGTTTATTTATGATTACACTTTAGGTTTGATATTTATTTAACCTTATTAACCAAATAATAATCATTATTAGAAAGACACTACAATTTATTACTTTTAACTAGGGAAATCTTCGGAAAAATCCTAATATTTCACCCTAATTTACGAAAAAGTCCCAAACTAAAATTAGTTTATGAAAAAATCCCGATTACCGGAAAAAATGACGATTTGACCCTTTTTTCCGGTTTGTCGGTTTCAATACTTACCCGGTTTCATTAAAGTCTCATTATTTTACCATAATTTGGGACTTATTCGTAAATTATTGTAAAATAATGGGACTTTATTAAAACCCGGTAATTAATGAAACCGGTAAATCGGGAAAATAGGACCAAATCGTCGTTTTTACCGGTAATTGGGACTTTTTCGTAAACAAATTTTAGTTTGGGATTTTTTCGTAAATTAGGGTAAAATATTAGGACTTTTCCGGAGATTTCCATTTTAACTATTTACAAAATATTATTTGGGTTGTTTAAGTTAAATTAAAATTTATATTTAAGTTGACCCTATAATATTATATTTAAATTAATAATTTAAATATTTATATAATTTTTTCAAAAGTTATAGCTTTAAAATGATAACGGTTTATATCCAACAATATATTAAAATAAATAAATTAAGTATAATATGTTAAAAGTTAAAAAAACATAACTTTATTTGTAGAAGTAAATATATTTTTTAATATTGAAATTTAGTTTATATATGATTACACTTTAGTTTTGATATTTATTTAACCTTATTAACCAAGTTATAATCATTATTAGAAAGAAAGTGAAAAGTTATGGGAGTTTCAAATGAATGTGGTGAAAGGAAAAATGCATTGGAGTTTCAAATGAATGTGGTGAAAGGAAAAATGCTTCCTTTATAATATAGTATGATATGATGATATGATATGATATGATCCTATGAACAACCCAGTCAAACATATAAGATTATTTTTTTAAAATTTAATTTAATTAGCTATTTTTTTAATTAAAATATATATTTGAAAATAAGAAAATATATATTTTACATATATTTTTTTTTAAACACGAAGCTTTGTTTGTTAATAATGTTTTTCTATTTTTACGTTATAATTTAAATAAAACATGTATTGTATGAAAAAAGACTTACGAAATGTAGTGTTGTTGATTATGATGGCATGTGCGGAATATGAAAAGATCTAGTGAATTATCATGTAAACTCAAGAACACAAGGAGTAAATAAATCTGTGTAAGCTCATATTAGATCTAGAAAGGATATACAAATGGGTTTGTACAAATTTCTCTCTCTAGTCTAACACTCCAAAATGATCATCTCTAAATATGACTGTCACTCACTTCCTATTTATAGCAAAGACAACTCATTTACACATACAAAGGAGTAAAGCACAAATACATCCAAGAGTGACTTTGCACCCTAACATTCTCCCCCTCAAAGTTAGGATTGGATGTCCGGCTTCAATATCCAACGAGCCCGCGCGATCAAGACCAAACTCCCCCTCGAAGTAACACCGGTCTTCAAATCCGCAAATGAATACCCGAAAAACTCGCTTCGAATACCCATCATTCTCCCCCTTTTATAATCAAAAAATGATTATAAAACCCATTAAGGGTGAGAAGCGCTCGAGGAATAAACTTCACAATACTCTCCCATGATGTGTACCAAAAATGAATCACCAAAAATCTTGCACGGAAAAACAATCATGAAAAAGCCTCAAAAAATTTCCAATTTGTGAAAAATTTTGACTTTTTGGGTGAAAGTTGCAAGATTTTCCAAAATTCGGGTAAAAATCGTCACTTTCTGAATTCTGCAGGGACCCGTTGCGCCAAAAACAGCTTAATATGCAAAACTCTACCCCATTTGTGAAACTGGGCATAAAGTGTAAATTCGCACAAACTGAAGGGACAAAAATGAAAATTCTGCATTCTTCACAATTTTTGCTCAAGATTCGAAACTGGACTAATTCTGCTAAGTCTTCGAAATTCCAGGGACTAATTTCCAAAATTCTGTATTCTCAACAATTTTTGCTGCAAATTCGAAATTAGACCACTTTTGCCATATCTTCGAAACTATAGGGTCCAATTTCGAAACATTTATGTTTTCTTCTTCTTCCCAATTAGTGAACCCTGTAATGAAACGTCAATACTCCCATCGACACAATGCACTCTATGTCGACGAAAACAACTCCCAATCTTTCGAAAGTAACAAACAACCCTTCGTTTTTAACAAATCGACCTCTTATAAACTCCCAAATCAACAATCGATATCAAATTCTTCCCTGTTCGTCAATCGACCTCAACTACACAGACTTCGATCCTTAAACCCCAGTCGATATTTGTTCATCTACAAACCATCGAGACTTCATTCGCTTTTCATCAACAGCTACTCGATATCAAATTCTCAAACCTCCTTCGCTTTTCACAGTTCAACTCAAAACTAACCCACATCGACTCTAAAAACCATCGATTCCAAATACAATCGATTCCATGCCTTCGAAATCACGTCATCAACCAAAATCAATATCAACTATATCGAACCATTAACGAATCCAGTTTAATTGTCAGATTCGTGTTCGATTTATCATGAACATGAATTTTGACTTTGAGTTTAACTTTTCTTTTGAATCGACTCCAAGAGAATGATACCAAATCAATATCAGTAGAAAGTAATTTCGACTCCAATAGACACATTCGTTTATCAAATCACTCCAATGAACATTGGATATAAACGAGATCGAATTCGATTCTATAGCACATCGAGGATGAATTTGACTCAAGCAAATGTAAGTCAAAATTTCGACTTTAACTCAACTTGAATCGAGTTTCGATTCATTCAATTCTTATTTTAAACTTTATTTTTCTCAAAAACAAGGAATGAGAATGAAGAACACACTAGGATGGAGAATCAAACTGAATATAGGAACATTATCGGTTAACTTTTTGGAATCAAACAAGATGAACAGTATAAGACTTGTTATTTGGGCTAAACAACACATGAACAGTAAACCGATATAATGTTTGGGCTCAAATTGGACTCAATGAATGAACATATCAATTATTTGGTTTTGAAATTTTGATGAACAGTAAAAATTTCGAACAATTAACCAAAATTTCGATTTAGAAATTAAAAAGAAATTATAAGAATATGATTTTGATTTTTGGAATTTTGATCTAAACAAAAATAATTGGATCAATCAATGGGGTTTGAAACGGATTTGATCCAATGAGGCAAATCGATCAAAAATGAAAAACGTAAAATACGAATCGAAATCATGGACGTTTTAGAATCCATTTGAGAATTTGAGATACCTTTTTGACGAATCGAGACCCATTTGCAACGAACGAATCAAATTTAGAAGATCTTGGTTCTTTTGTTGGAACGAGAAAATCTTCAATTTGAACATTGTACCACCCAATATGCGAGATGTACAACTCGTTCTTCGTGTTCTTCATCAAACCAAGAACATCTTCAAAAAAACCACCAACACTTTTGGGTTTTGACTTCAAATTCAATGCAACCTTTGGAGATTGTTGCTTTGGAACTCAAATTTGCTTCACGGATTTCGGATTCACAACAACATTCGACAATTTTTGTGTATAAACTCGCTTGTTCTTCCGTTTAATCTTCTTCTTCTTTTTCTTTCTCATATTTTTGCATCTTGAAGACTTGATTTCATGAACAACCCCACTTTCTACAACTTCAACTTTGTGAGTTTGAATCAAATCTTTTGGACTTTGATACTTGTGATTTTCTTGGATCATCGGCTTCCGATAAGGAATCATTCCTTCAAACGAATCACAAGAACACAAAATATCATCGGTTTGAACTCCAATCGAGCAAAAAACTTTTTCATCTTGAGAATCAACTTGAACTCCTTTTTCTTGAACATCATGATCATCATCAAGAACACCTTCCCGAGCTTCACGACAATCTGCATAATATTCAAGTTTATTGCTTCCATATTTGCATTCAGCACGAGGAATTCCTTTTATGACTTCTCCTTCTTTCTTATTTCTTCGTCTCTTTTGATATGTTGTAATCAAACGATCAAACAAATCTTTGGTTTGATAAATTGGACAACTAATTAATTCTCCA